ACCCCGAAACAAGTAAGGACCCCTCACCCTATTTCCTATCACGGTATTAAAGCCAAATAAATAATTAAACTGTACTGTGTGACTTTATAGATGTATAATTGATTAAGGTTGCCAATGGAGCCCGAGTCTGATACAGTGTTGTTCTGTTATTGTTTGATCAAATTTTCAGTATTAAATGCAGTATGATGTTTGATGTAATTATGTTATGGTTTCGTATGCATGAATCATAGTTTCTTTTATTATAGTTTGTATTATGGTGAACCCGATACTGTGTTGTCTTATTTGGTGTCAATTACTGGTTTACATGTTGTGTGTGATTGGATGATTGAGATCAAGGAAAAAGGCAAAAAGATTATGTGAATTGATGAGTGGATAATGTGGACAGCCTGACTAGATATCCTGGGAGATGGTGGACGGACCGGGTCTGTAGGGAACCCTACCGGGAACGTGGTCTCTCATACCGGACGGGGTATGGAGACCTTATGTGTTTTGGCACCCATACCGGACGGGGTATTGAGGTTCATAATTTTGGCACCCATACCGGACGGGGTATGGGGACAGCTCTGGAATCAAGTTGTAATGTTGATAGTTCACGGGTAGCGGGGACCCTCTATGGATCCCCATGGATACTAGTAGGCTGGTAAAATAGGAAAATATATTGTTTAATGATTGAAATGCAAAGCCGTGATAAGTATCATGTTATAAAGGCTATATGATTTCATGATGATGATAATGTTATTGCTTTCATATGTTCTTTTCATGGATCTCACCGAGGTAAGTGGATAGTAAAGGTTTTTATATTAATAAACGAGTTCGTTATAAATTATGCTCCATTGGTCATTTATGTTTTCTACCCACCTTTACTTCCGTGGCGGTGAGATAGAATGATGTCTTTACTAGACTGGTGTAGCTCATTCCTTATTTAACCATTTCAGATCAGGAAGACGTTGTTCCCGAGTCCGTTCCTCAGGAAGACGACGAAAGAGACGCCTAAAGACTTCATAGTTATATTTATAGTTCTTATTTCGAGTATCTCTTATAGTTAGTTTGTTCATTTATGTTTTGAGTACGTTTTGGTTATTGTGTAAGGGATGTTAATCAAAAATTTTATTACACTTCCGTATTTGAGATTTTTAAATACATACATTTCATTTAAATTTCCAGGGCCGTTACACTTTGATTCTTTGTCGAATTGTGTACTGGTGATTTGTTTTGGGAGGAATGAGGTCGTCAGAAGTGAACTCCCTTACCCTTTTCTGTATCAAGAAGGAGCATTTTAATAAGTTATAAAAAAACATATTGAATCCTTTGCACATATATATATTTCGATACTTACTCCAACTATTTCCTGTACTTGATCGAAGATGTTGGATGCTTGTGATCCTTTAGCGTTTGAATTTTGATTTGATGCACTTGCCTCTTCATTTTGTTCAATGTATGGTTGTATTTGGAACCAGTGAGTTCTGAACTCTCAATTTTTGTATGAGACATGTTATACAGAGAGAGAGAGAGAGAGAGAGATAGGAAGATAGAGAGAGAGAGAGAGAGAGAGAGATGTTTATCTAGAGATGAATCAAGTAGTGAACAATTATATATATTGAGGATGGCAACCTTGGATGGATTCTTCATTTTTTCTTTCCTTTTTGTCTTAATCTGAAAAATGTCTTTGATATTTTTAATTTAATTTAAGAATATTGTGAATGAATATGAAAATTTTATAAAATTTAATGTGTTTGAAGTTAAATTTGTAATTTTATATTTATAGTTAATTTTAATTCTTAAGTAATACATTTATAGTTTAATTAATGATACATGTACAATATTCAAGATATAAAGAGAATGTTTATATTAATAGTAAAAAATATTCAACTTATTTTATCACTAGACATTTTCTGTTCATATAAAATTTATACACTTTCCTTCTAGTAATAATAAAATGTTTTTTAGCTACTCAACAATAATATTGCAGGTAAAACGTATCTAATGAATTGAATGCTATGGATTTTGCATATCTATCATGTCCAAAACTAGATACTAAAATGCATGCACCTTATGATCCATAATTAATTATCCTTTTTTGTTTCTATGTAATTAAAATAACTTTCTAATATTAATTTCTCTCATTTATCTTCATTTTATAACATATATTATATATATATATATATATTACAACTAATTAATTTCTTTTTACTTTTCCTCTTCAAGTGTGTAAATGTAAGATGAATTTCTTTT